TAGAACAAAATATTTAACATAAGATAATTCTCTTTGATGAAATCAATGTCCAATTCAACTGAGTTAACAGATATCAAATAACAAACTGTCTAATGCTGATGAACACGAAATGTTGGCTATGATCACAATCAATGTTAATGCGTAAGCACTGAATGCGTTCACATTCGTCATAAACAGTGACTGTAACTCATTAATACCCGAGGTGTCTCCTTTGAATAAGCAAGGGTAAAATTTGCAAAAAGTCACTATTGCGTATTCGACGTTAAACAAACAGTAACAGTAACAAAGAGTTATTATAAAATATGCCACTGGGAAGTAAGTACCATTTAAACAAACATCAACAAATATATGACTGAGACTAAAATGAACACAAGACTTGGTGTCATCAGGAGAAATGTCACTGAGTGAATTCGCATTTGACATAAACGGCAACGTTTTACAGTAACGCCCACTGGATAGGTTTTTGTAGGCCTTCACTAAAAAAAAAAAATGTTGTAACAGCTAAAGGTATTTTTATTAACTCAAAGAGGGGCAACACCATGGAGGTGCTTCTTCTTCTGCCTTCACTGTTTAGCTCTTGTTGTACTGTGAAATAGAATCATAATTTGTACTACATGCAAATGAAGTTAGTAGTTTATCATGCCGCAGTGGTGTGGGAGTTTATTAACAATTGTGACAATGTCAAGTCAAATCTCCACCTTGTCTGGGTGTGTGTATGTGAGGGGGAGGGGAGATTGAGATATCAATATTATTGACCAGTGCACAACTTTGAAGTAGAAGGCTAATAAGAAATAGTAAGGGGTCGTGATGGTTTAAACAATGGTTTTCTGTTAATATGTTGTTTTTGATGGTAAAATGACACAAAGGTAGCCAGCTAAAGTTAATTGACTAGCCAGTGATTTTGGCTTGCTATGACAACTCACAGGCATCTACTTAGGAGTTAGTTTCAATGCACCCTCAAATACCACAGAACCTGGCCTGGAGGGGTGCTAGGTATGAAACAACCAAATGTTAACCTTTTCTTCCTCAATTTTCTCAACTACACTTTCCTCCACTCCTCGTTGTCGTAGAAAGT